TGGTCTCGATCTCTTGACCTTGTGATCCACCCGCCTCGGCCTCCCAAAGTGCTGGGATTACAGGCTTGAGCCACCGCGCCCGGCCACCTGAGAAGTTTTATACTACTGTGTTATTGATCACTCCAACCCCTGAAGGACTGAAGTGACATAGGTAAAATTGATGCAAATTTCTCTGGATCACAGAAGTTCTTTGGACACACAGAGATATAAATTGGTTGTTCCCTGCTCTCAAAAACGAGGAGGTGGAGCTGTGTATGCCTAACTGGGTGCCTGGTCCAAATTTTTTTCATTGAAAAACAACTATCTTATAAAATGGAATAGGTGGCTAGTTAAGAGTTAGTAAAAATAGATAAATGACAGATGATTGATAGATTAGATAGATACAGATCTAGTAGATATCAGATGGGTAGACAGATAAATAAATACCATTTGCTTTCCATATACGCAGGTTTTGCATCTACAGATTCAAGTAACTGATCAAAAAGTATTGTTTAAAAAAATAAGAAGTATAAAAATAATATACATTTTAAATATAGTATTACAATTATTTATATACCATTTACATTGTATTAGGCATTATAAGTAACCTAGAGATGATTTAAAGTGTATGGGAGGATACGCATAGGTTATATGTAAATGCTACACCATTTTTTTTTTTTTTTAATTTTTTGTATTTTTAGTAGAGACGGGGTTTCACCATAGACTAGGATGGTCTCGATCTCTTGACCTTGTGATCCACCCGCCTCGGCCTCCCAGAGTGCTGGGATTACAGGCTTGAGCCACCTCACCTGACCCATTGCTACACCATTTTATATAAAGAACTTGAGCATCTAAGGATTCTGGTATCCATGGGGTCCTGAAAGCAATTCACTGCAGATACCAAAGGACTGTGGTAGATCGATAGGAGATAGACAGATAGACATTTTATCATAGATATAATTTTATCTTGGCAATTTTGGACTTAGAGATTGTTGAAATGGTACACGACTATTGAGGTTTAATAACCATCTGGTTACATTTCAGCATAACACTTGTATTTTAGACTATTAAAGGCCCTAATTTGTCTCACTTTGTGATTTTTTTTTTTTTTTTTTTTTTTTGAGACGGAGTTTTGCTCTTGTTACCCAGGCTGGAGTGCAATGGCGTGATCTCGGCTCACCGCAACCTCCGCCTCTTGGGTTCAGGCAATTCTCCTACCTCAGCCTCCTGAGTAGCTGGGATTACAGGCACGCGCCACCATGCCCAGCTAATTTTTTGTATTTTAGTAGAGATGGAGTTTCACCATGTTGACCTGGATGGTCTCGATCTTTTGACCTCGTGATCCACCCGCCTCGGCCTCCCAATGTGCTGGGATTACAGGCTTGAGCCACCGCGCCCAGCTAGGAACTTCTTATTGATCTGAGAGATGCTATGAACAGCCTTCCCCTGATGACAGAAATTTAGAGACATTTTATTAAAGTTTGCATTTGACACCATACGCCCCTGTTCAAAATAAAACAACTGAATGCAACACACACCAGAGACTATCACACAAGTACTAAGTTTCTACTCTGGTGGAAGCCCATGTTCATTGTCCTCGTACTCCCTAAATGCCTGTGTTCTGAGGTCTTTTGTATGAGTGCCAAGGGATACTGTGTTTATTGAGTAGAAAATCATGTACATATGCTTCAAAACACCACATTACACATGACAAATACATACAGTTTTATCTGTCGACTTAAAAAATAAACAAGAGAGAAGTTTCAAAGAGAATATAATTGAGTGGAGAGAGGGGAAATGTGAGGGAGTGGTGCAACATATGGATAGCAGTGATGTGGCTGTGGATTCCTCCAAGAACATCTTTCTCTTTGGTATGTGTTTGTTCCTATTTGTCTACTTACCTATCTTCCTATCTATATATCTGGCTATTATCTAAAAAGCATTTTAGTTTTTATTTCTAGCCAGGGAAGTCTGATTTTTTAAAAAGTATTTCTGAATTTCCTGAAAATTCCTTTTAAATATTGAATGCTTATCTGAAAAAACCAGTTACTTACCAAATTTGGATCTGTTTTGTGGACAGTGGGTGCCAGGTTGGTGTCTGTGCCAGAGTATAGAGGCATCTGAAACCTGAGATAAAGGTTTGGGATTCTATGATCTCATCTCCTTGCTGAGAAGTGATTATCATTTCACCTGTAATTGCGGTGATAGTGTCTGCACAGGGAATTGAGATTATTTCTGAGAACATATGTGCATACTGAAAGTTCCTAACAGCTATTAAAAATTAGTGACAGCCGGGCGCGGTGGCTCAAGCCTGTAATCCCAGCACTTTGGGAGGCCGAGGCGGGTGGATCACAAGGTCAAGAGATCGAGACCATCCTGGTCAACATGGTGAAACCCCGTCTCTACTAAAAATACAAAAAAAATTAGCTGGGCATGGTGGCGTGTGCCTGTAATTCCAGCTACTCAGGAGGCTGAGGCAGGAGAATTGCCTGAACCCAGGAGGCGGAGGTTGCGGTGAGCCGAGATCGCGCCATTGCACTCCAGCCTGGGCAACAAGAGCGAAACTCTGTCTCAAAAAAAAAAAAAAAAATTAGTGACAAAGATATCCAACAAGAGTGGCAGGAAGAGATGAGGGGAATAAACTTTTAAAATAAGCAAACCAAATCCCAATGAGAGATGAACACAGAACATAGATCTCATAAGCGACAGAAGAAAACTAAGCATGTGTGTACCCAGGATTTTTAGTAAATTGGAAAAGTTTGTCTCCAAAAAATGATTCTTTTCTATTCCTGAGAGCACTGAAAGTAGTGAAATTCAAAGAAGGGACAACCATCTCTTCTTTAGTAGTCAGTAGGAATAGAAACAGTATTCATGGCCGGGCGCGGTGGCTCACGCCTGTAATCCCAGCACTTTGGAAGGCCGAGGCGGGTGGATCACAAGGTCAAGAGATCGAGACCATCCTGGTCAACATGGTGGAACCCCGTTTCTACTAAAAAAAATACAAAAAATTGGCTGGGCGTGGTGGTGCGTGCCTGTAATCCCAGCTATTCAGGAGGCTGAGGCAGTAGAATTGCCTGAACCCAGGAGGTGGAGGTTGTGGTGGGCTGAGATCACGCCATTGCACTCTAGCCTGGGTAACAAGAGCAAAACTCCGTCTCAAAAAAAAAAAAAAAAAAAAAAGAAAAGAAAAGAAAAAGAAACAGTATTCATAATGATCCAAATGTGCATTAAATCTGTGTTGTCATATTTATTCAGTATTTCACCAAATGTTTTGGATACATGTTATAGGCATATTTCAAGGTATATGGGATAGATATATCAGTATACGAAACATGAACTGTAATTGATTTTCATGAAATTTATACCATAGTTAATTGAAACACCCAATAAATAATTCATCTACTTTATTAAGTAGCATAGTAAATGTCAAGGTTCTATAGAAAATAGAAGAGATTCATAGACTGCAGGTGGTGTTGTCTGGGACCCACGATTTGCTGCAGTAGGAAATCGAACATCAGTGTTAGGATTTACAGTGAAAATGGTATGTTTTTTATTTTTTTTAAAATTTTTATTTATTTATTTATTTATTTTTTTTTTTTGAGATGGAGTTTTGCTCTTGTTACCCAGGCTGGAGTGCAATGGCGCGATCTCGGCTCACCGCAACCTCCGCCTCCTGGGTTCAGGCAATTCTCCTGCCTCAGCCTCCTGAGTAGCTGGGATTACAGGCACACACCACCATGCCCAGCTAATTTTTTGTATTTTTAGTAGAGACGGGGTTTCACCATGTTGACCAGGATGGTCTCGATCTCTTGACCTTGTGATCCACCCGCCTCGGCCTCCCAAAGTGCTGGGATTACAGGCTTGAGCCACCGCGCCTGGCTGTTTTTTAATTTTTAACTTTTGCGGTTACATAATACGTATATATATTTATGGGTTGCATAAGATATTTTTGATACTGCCATGCAATGCAAAATGATCACATCAGGATAAATGGGGTCTCCATCACCTCAACCATTTATCATTTCTGTTAACAAATAAACCAATTATACTCTTTATTTTTAAATGTGCAATTAAATTATTTTTGACTATAGTAGCTCTGTTGAGTTAGCAAATACTAGGTCTTATTCATTCTAATTTTTGTATTCCTTAATCATCCCCACTCACCCCCACCCCCACCTACCCTTCTCAGCCTCCGGTGACGGAGTCTAGCACTGTCGCCCTGGTAGTACAGTGGAGTGATCTTGGCTCACTGCAATCTCCACGTCCTAGGTTCAAGTAATTCTCCTGCCTCAGCCTCTCGAGTAGCTGGGACTACAGGTGTGTGCCACGACGCCCAGCTAATTTTTTTGTGTATCTGTGTGTATTTTTAGTAGACAGGGTTTCACCATGTTGGCCAGGATGATCTCGATCTTCTGACCTCATGATCCGCCCACCCCGGCCTCCCAAAGTGCTGGGACTACGGGCGTGAGCCACCGTGCCCGGCCACATCCTTCTACTTTATATCTCCATGAGTTCAATTGTTTTTATTTTTAGATCCCACAAATTAATTGAGAATATGCAAAATGTATCTTTCTGTGTCTGTCTCATTTCACTTAACAGGATGACCTCCATTTCCATCCATGTTGCTGCAGATGAGAGATCTCATTGTTTTTATGGCTGAATAGTACTCCATTGTGTTTATGCAACATCCTATGTTCTGTGCAACTTTCTTCTGCGTGTCATATTTCAAAATTCGGAAGATCAAAGGTATTGGGGTAAATAAACGTAAACACAGGGCTTACGTTGAAAAAACAGTCACTAGAAAAAAAATACATGTAAACTTTGTTGCAGAATAAGAAGAGTTGGGTGAATGACCAGGGCACGCAGCACTCACCTGAGCGTGGTTCCTCCGCTAGGCCAGGGGAGGCGGCCGAACGCGGTGGGGGGCCCTTGGGTAAGGCAGTTCCTATCCCAAAACAGGTGCGGGCCACGGTAGGTGGCGTCACCGAGACTCAGAAAAGAGGGGACAGAGTCTTCCTTACCCTGTTACCTCTGGCCAACCAAGGGCTACGAAGCTTGCAGTGGACAGAGCCCAGCAATGAAAAGTTTGCCCCGAGGCCGACGCCAGAAGACCTGCCCAGGTGTTCTTTCCTCGCACGGAAGTGCCCTTTCCTCGCACGGAAGTGCCCCTCTACCGAGCTTCTCATTGGCTCAGTGCCGCCGACCCGCGCGATGTCTTCTGGGAAACGTGGTTCTCCCTGCGCCACCTGTACGCGGGGCGGCGCCGCTGCCGACCTCTGGGCCTGTCCCAGGGCTCCGCGAGGGATGCTGGGAAATGGTACCTGGCGTCTCTGAAGACACCGCGGGGTCTCACGCTTCTTAAAAGAGACGCATCCAGATTTCCGTGGAATGCACTCTGCATTGAACACAGAAATGTGTAGAGACGGATGGGCGAGGAGGGTCACGCCTGTAATCCCATCACTTTGGGAGGCCGAGGCGGGTGGATCACGAGGTCAAGAGATCGAAACCATCCTGGTCAACATGGTGAAACCCCGTCTCTATTAAACAGACAAAAAATTAGCTGGGGCCGGGCGCGGTGGCTCAAGCCTGTAATCCCAGCACTTTGGGAGGCCGAGGCGGGTGGATCACGAGGTCGAGAGATCGAGACCATCCTGGTCAACATGGTGAAACCCCGTCTCTACTAAAAATACAAAAATTAGCTGGGCATGGTGGCGCGTGCCTGTAATCCCAGCTACTCAGGAGGCTGAGGCAGGAGAATTGCCTGAGCCCAGGAGGCGGAGGTTGCGGTGAGCCGAGATCGTGCCATTGCACTCCAGCCTGGGTAACAAGAGTGAAACTCCGCCTTAAAAAAAAAAAATTAGCTGGGCATGGTGGCGCGTGCCTGTAATCCCAGCTACTCAGGAGGCTGAGGCAGGAGAATTGCCTGAACCCGGGAAGCGGAGGTTGCGGTGAGCCGAGATCGCGCCATTGCACTCCAGCCTGGGTAACGGGAGTGAAACTCCGTCTCTCACACACACACACACACACACACACACAAAGAGAGAGAGAAAGGAAAGGAGCTGGGCGCGGTGGCTCACGCCTGTAATCCTAGCACTTTGGGAGGCCGAGGTGGGTGGATGACCTAAGGTCAGGAGTTCAAGACCAGCCTGGCCAACACAGTGAAGCCCTGTTTCTACTAAAACTACAAAAAATTAGCCGGGTGTAGTGGCACGCGACTGTAATCTCGGCTACTTGAGAAGCTGGGGCAGGAGAATCACTTGAACCTGGGAGGCAGAAGTTGCAGTGAGCTGGGATTGCAAGCCATTGCACTCCATCCTGGGTGACAGAGTGAATGAGACTGTGTCTCAAAAAAAAAAAAAAAAAAAAGATACCGTGGATTCCCTGTTAGTTTTTACCATGTGGTAAAGCTGTCTGAATGCCTTCTTTCCATCTGCCTTCAAGCCAGTATTGCTCAGTATACTCAAGAGTTAGAAAAACAAAGTAAGTACAGCAGGGCAGGCCATTTGAAGATTTCTTTTTTTCTCTAAGTGAACTGAAAAACCATGACAAGGATTTAAACAAGGGAAGACAACCTGTCTATATTTACTGTTAATGAATTATTGTAACTATTGTGCTGAGAACTGTAGAAGCTGGGAGACCATTTAGAAAACTAGTACTGAAATTCAGATATTGGACCTATGGTTTACAAATATTTTCAACCATTCCATTGGTCACCTTTTTATTTTCTTGACTGTTTCCTTTGCTATGAAGAGCTTTTTAGTTTGACATAGTCTGTTTATTTTTGCTTTTGTTGACTCTGTTTCTGGTATCATATCCAAAAAATCATTGCCAACATCAATGTGAGGGAAATTTTTTCTATATTCTTTTTGGGGAATTTTATGGTTTCAAGTCTTAAATGTAAGCCTTTAAACAATTTCAAGTTAGTTTTTGTGAGTGGTGTAAGATAGATATCCAGTTTTATTCTTTTGCATGTGGTTATCTAGTTTTCCCAGTGTTTATTGAAGAGATTATCCTTTCCCTATTGTATATTCTTGACACCCTTGCCAAATATTAGTTTAGCATACATGCTTGAGGTTAGTTCTGCTCTCTTCACTCTGTTCCATTAGTCTATGTGTCTGTTTTTATGTCGTTACTATGCTGTTTTAATTACTGTAGCTTTGTCATATAATTTGAAATGAAGACATGTGATACCTCCATCTTTGTTATTCATTCTCAAGGTTCCTTTGGCTATTTGAGGTCTTTTGTGATTACATGAGAATTTTGGAGATTGTTTTTTCTATTTCTGTGAAAAATACATTCTAATTCTGATAGGAATTGCATTGAAACTATAGATCACTTTGGGTAGAAGAGACATTTTAACAATATTAATTTTTCTAATCCATGAACACAGGACATTATTAGCTTTAACAGTTTTTAGCAGAATTTGTAGGGTTTATCATATATAGGATCATTTCATCTGCAAATATGAACAATTTTCTTTATTATTTGGATACCTTTTGTTTCTTTTTCTTGCCTAACTTCTCTTGCTAGTACTTCCGGTAATATGCTGAATAGAAATGGTGAGAGTGGGAAACCTTGACTTTTTTAAGATCTTGGAGAAAAAGCTTTCAGACTTTTACCATTGAGAATAATGTTACCTGTAGGCTTGTTATATATTGCATTTATTATGTTCAAGTGCATTTCTTTTTCTTTTTCTTTTTCTTTTTTTTTTTGAGACGGAGTTTCGCTCTTGTTACCCAGGCTGGAGTGCAATGGCGCGATCTCGGCTCACCGCAACCCCCGCCTCCTGGGTTCAGGCAGTTCTCCTGCCTCAGCCTCCTGAGTAGCTGGGATTACAGGCACGCGCCACCATGCCCAGCTAATTTTTTTGTATTTTTAGTAGAGACGGGGTTTCACCATGTTGACCAGGATGGTCTTGATCTCTTGACCTCGTGATCCACCCGCCTCAGCCTCCCAAAGTGCTGGGATTACAGGCTTGAGCCACCGAGCCCAGCTCAAGTGCATTTCTTCTATACCCCTTGCTGAAAGTTTATATCAAAAAATGATGTTACATTTTGTTCATTTTTCTGCATCTATTGGATTCTGATTATATGGATTTTTTGTCCTTTATTTTGTTAGAGTTGTGTATCACATTTATTGATTTGTGGATGTTGAACCATTCTTGCATCCCATCATACTTGAAATTTCAATGTTCTTAAATTTGTTCAAATTTATTTTGTGACATAACATTATTTATCCTGAAGAATGTCTTGTATGAGCCTAGAAGAATGAGTATTATGCTGCTGTTTGGATGGAATATGTTATATATATCTATTTGATCCATTTGGTCTACAGGGTTATTCATATCTATTTTTTCTTATTGATTTTCTGTCTGGATGACATACTCATTGTTGAGAGTTGGGTATTAAAGTCTGATGGTATTCTTATGTGACTTTATTTTTCCTTTCAGCTATGTTAATATTTGCTGTATATATTTAGGAAATCTAATGTTGAGTACATAAATTTTCTAATTATTTTATTTATTTATTTATTTATTTATTTATTTTTTTTTTGAGACGGAGTTTCGCTCTTGTTAACCCAGGCTGGAGTGCAATGGCACGATCTCGGCTCACCGCAACCTCCGCCTCCTGGGTTCAGGCAATTCTCCTGCCTCAGCCTCCTGAGTAGCTGGGATTACAGGCACACGCCACCATGCCCAGCTAATTTTTTGTAGTTTTAGTAGAGACGGGGTTTCACCATGTTGACCAGGCTGGTCTCGATCTCTTGACCTCGTGATCCACCCGCCTCGGCCTCCCAAAGTGCTGGGATTACAGGCTTGAGCCACCGCGCCCGGCCCCCTTTTTTTTTTTTTTTTTGAGACGGAGTTTCGGTCTTGTTACCCAGGCTGGAGTGCAATGGTGCGATCTCGGCTCACCGCAACCTCCGCCTCCTGGGTTCAGGCAATTCTCCTGTCTCAGCCTCCTGAGTAGCTGGGATTACAGGCACGCGCCACCATGCCCAGCTAATTTTTTTGTATTTTTAGTAGAGACGGGGTTTCACCATGTTAACCGGGATGGTCTCGATCTCTTGACCTCGTGATCCACCCGCCTCGGCCTCCCAAAGTGCTGGGATTACAGGCTTGAGCCACCGCGCCCGGCCCTAATTATTTTATCTTTTAGATGAATTGACCCTGTTATCATTATATAAGGATGGTTGTAACAGTTGTTTTTTATTTTTATTTTTATTTTTTTGAGGTGGAGTCTCCCTCCATCACCCAGGCTGAATTGCAGTGGCTCGATCTTGGCTCACTGCAACCTCCACTTCCTGGGTTCAGGCGATTCTCCTGCCTCAGCTTCCCCAGTGGTTGGGATTACAGGCCTGTGCTACCACACCCAGCTAAGTTTTGTATTTTTAGTAGAGACAGGGTTTCACCATGTTGGTCAGGCTGGTCTTGAACCCCTTACCTTGTGATCCACCTGCATTGGCCTCCTAAAGTGCTGGAATTACAGGTGTGAACCATTGCACCTGGCCAACAGGTTTTTTTGCCTAAAGTTTACTTTGTCACATATAAGTATACCACCTTTCCCTCTTTTGGTTACCATTTACATATTTTTTTTTATTCCTTCACTTCAATCTATGTGTTAAGATAAATTTTTCTTTTTCTTTCTCTCTCTCTCTGTTTTTTTGTTTTGTTTTTTTTTTTTTTTTGAGACGGAGTCTAGCTCTGTCTCCAGGCTGGAGGTCAGTGGTGCGATCTCTGCTAACTGCAACATCTGCCTCCTGGGTTCAAGCGATTCTCCTGCCTCAGCCTCCCAAGTAGCTGGGATTACAGGTGCCCACCACCACGCCCAGCTAATTTTTTGGTATTTTTAGTAGAGATAGGGTTTCGCCACGTTGCCCAGGCTAGTCTTGAAAGATATTGTTAAAGGATACAAAATTACATTTACATAACAGGAATGCCTTCTTAGTGTTCTGTACCACTGAAGGATGATGATAATTAACAATAATATACAACTTCAGGCTGGACACCGTGGTTCATACCTGTAATCCCAGCACTTTGGGAGGCTGAGTGGGGTGGGTCAACTCCTGAGGTCAGGAGTTCAAGACCAGACTGACCGACATGTTGAAACCCCATCTCTACTAAAAATACAAAAAACCTGATGGGCGTGTATTATATACACATATATACATATATACTCAACATATATATATAAATACAACTATATATACTATATATACATATATAATATATGCAACATATATTGTAAGTTGTGTATAAATACAACTTCAAAAGCTAAACGAGGATATTGAACATGCTCAACACAAAAAACTGATAAATTCCTGAGAAGATAGATGTACTTACTATTTACCCTGATCTGAGCACTATATGTATCAAAGAATCACCATGTATCCCCTTGAATATGCATAACTGTTATTTGTCAATTTTAAAAGAAAATTAAATAAATTATGCATAATCTAACCATGAGGACACCTCACTATACACCATATGAGGCAAATTTTATAGAACAAATGGCCTGTATTTTAAAAACTAGCCACAAAAAAAAGAAAGGCGTTCAAAGAAAAGAAATTGTTTCAAATCAATAGAGATTAAAGATACATGAGAAATTAATGCACATCATCATATTTAGTACTGAACTGGAAAAACAGCTATAATGGGTGTTAACAGGACAAAGGACACAATTTGAATATGGTGTGTTAATTACACAATACTATTATACCCATATAAAATTTCCTGAATTTGATGATTGTGCTCAGGTTAAAAAAGAAAATGTTCTTTTATTTAGTAAATATACACCATAATTATTCATTTTTAAAATGGGGGCATTGTTCCCAGCTTACTCTGAAAGTGTTCAAAATAATAGATAGATAGATAGATAGATAGATAGATAGATAGATAGATAGATGACAGAGATTTATGAAGCTGAAGATAGTATCTTTCTTACATTGATAAATAACATGTATACAAATCCTGTATTAAATTATACCTTGAGGTTGCAGTGAGCCGAGATCGTGCCATTGCACTCCAGCCTGGGCAACAAGAGTAAAACTCTGTCTAAAAGAAATATATATATATATATATATATATATATATATATATATATATATGCCTCCATGGTCTATAATTGAAATATTCCCATGAGATGAGAAAAAAAAAGAAGAGTGGCTGCCCTTTGTATTCTTATCCGATATAACACTGGAGGTTCTATTAGTACAAAAAGTAAAGACGATAAACATGTAACTGTTGAAAAATGAGAAATAAAGATGTTCTTCCTGACTAATTTAACGTATTTCCTCAAATGTCATTGCCACCAGGAATCCTACCATGGATATTCAGTTTGCTATTTCGACCTATCTGGGCTCCCGCCACTTTTTATCACCTATAACCTGCTCTTTTTTT